GAAGATTGAATATGAGTCTTTAATAAATAATAAAATATGGGTATTGGCAAAATTACCTACAAATAGAAGGGCAATTAGTTGTAAATGAATATATTCTAAGAATTCTAATTCTGATGAAAATGTCAAGAGATATAAAGCAAGGTTGGTGGCTAAGGGTTTAGTAAAAAAAAGAAGGCATTGACTACAAAGAAACTTTTTCACTTGTAGCCAGTAAATCTTCCATTAGAATAATATTAGCCATAGCTAATCATTATGATTTTGATAGTCATGAAATGAATGTTAAAACTTCTTTTCTACATGCTAAAATTAGAAGAAGTTTTGAATGTGAAGGTCAAAAAAATAAAGTATGCCAATTAAATTAAATCATTATATGGTTTAAAACAATCCTCAAGACAAATAGTATTTGATATTCTCACATATACTTGGAGAATATAAATTTAATAATATTACTACAAATTATTGCGTATAGACTACGTACATTGGGGGTATTCATTGAATTCTGATCATGTATGTAGATGATTTAATTATAACAGGAAATGATGGAAAAGCCATTGAGGAATATAAGATGTTGTTGTCTTTTAAATTTGAGATGAAATATATGGGACATGTTGATTATATTCTAGGAATTAAAGTTACTACAAATAGAAATGAAAGATTGTTATATCTTGACCAAGAGCAATATACCCGTAAAGTACTAAAGAAATTTAGAATGGAGAATTCTAAACCCATGGCTGCCCCAATTGACAAAAATTGTAAATTAACAAAAGAAATGTGTTCTATGACTAATAAAGAGAAGGAAATCATGCCAAACTGTCCTTATGCACAGGCTATAGAGTCGCTTAATTATTTAATGAATTGTGTATGACCCGATATAGTTTATGCAGTGGGGGTTGCTAGTAGATATATGATCAATCCTGGATTGAGCATTAGAAACTAATTAAGAAAATATTTACATATTTAAAAAGGATACATAATTATGGCTTGTATTATGGCACTAAGGATCTAATCCTTGAGGGATACAACGATGTTAATTTAGGAAGTGAAGTTGATGAATATGGATCACCATATGAATGGCTATTTACCTTTGAGGGGACATGTGTCTCATAAGGTGGCAAGAAGCCAAAATGTATCTCACACTCTACTATGAATGCAGAGTATATTGTATTGTATCTTGCTCAAGAGAGGCAATATTCTTATGGCAATTTCTTAGTGAAATTCCATTAGCCAAATATAGGCATGGACCTACAATGATATATTATGATAATCAAGCAGCAATAACTATTTTAAAATACCCAATATATCATGGCAAGTCAAAGCATATTAAGAAAAAAATATCACTCCATAAGAGAATTTGTGGTAAATAAGGAGTTAGAAGGTAGCTATCTTTTTATACAATTGATGGTTGTTGATCTATTAACAAAGAGTATTAGTATTGACCCATTTGAAAGGCGTGTAGCTGCCATGGGAATTAAACGAATTGATTGACCATCATAATTGATGTTTTAGTGGCATGTTAGGGCATTTGTGAGCCAATTGATAGGTCTTTATGACTATGAGATTTTATGAGTAACCTATGTGACACTGTAATGATTATGGCTTTTGTGGCATTACCCGCCTTTGTGGCATGGATGCCTTGGTGGCTGATGTTTGAGCCTCCAAAAGTAGAAAGGTTAAGTCATTTAGCCTTTAATGGTTCATTATGTGATGAAAATCCATTGGAAGGATGTAGCCACGAACCACCGCCAGCTAGTGTGCATTTGTACACGTTTTGCCATTATCCCTAATTAGGGGCAAGTGACGTACTAGTGGTTATCCGAGCAATTGAGAATATCTTAGTAAGATGTATTTCTTTGTGAGATTTAGATGTGCCTTGAGTTCAAAGGTGCATCCATAGCCGTATAAAAAACACCCAAATCATCTATTGCAAAGCTATCTTGCTCCATTACCTCCGTATTGTTTTCTCTCTACATTGCTACTAATCCATTCATATTCCATATTTTTCAGCAATGTTTGGCATGCTTATGATGTTCTAAAGGTATGGATTTACTTGATCTCTACAAGTCCTAGTCGCGGGACATCGGTGAGTTCGTTCCATACTTTTATTTGCTCATCCTGGCATGATTGATTACTATGATAGAGCATGAAATAAAAGATAATAGATTGGGGATTTGATTAAATCATTTGAAGAGCTCTTATTATATACATGTTTATGCTTCTTATGAGATTGAGGTTCCATGTATGCAAAATGTTTGATAATATCTTCAAAGGTTGAAAGAGAGATTTTGATCCAAATTTGATTTTATATTCATCCATATTAGTAGCCACCCTAAACCGATTCAGCCACAATCACCGATGTATAAATATGTTTTAGTTCTTAATGGAGAATGCGGAGGCATACCCTTCCCCACTAATTCACCAAAAATGAATAAAATAAATATGCTTTACTTAAACATTAAAAAAAAAAAAAAACAAAACAAACAAACACAAAATCAACTTTAAACTTTCTTACAAGATATCATTTAAATTTTATGTTTCTATTTTTTTCCATAATTAAATTATTTTTACTATTTATATAATTTATAAATATAAAAAAAAAATTATTTTTTTGACACGATTCAAAAAATTTATTTACACGAGTGAGTTTACATCATCAGAAATAATTAAGGACACCCCCCGCTTGGCCAATAAATAGTTTTTGTCTCTTTGAGCTTAGAGACAGAAAGAAAGAGACCCCTTTGTGGGATTTTTGATTTTCCTCTTATGTTTGTGGACCCGTGTCGAAATATTTGTATCCATGTGTTTTATTTTTCTTATTATTGATTTTCTTCTCGATTTTTCTCTCTCTAAAACGCAGTTATTTTGCTGGGGTGGTATTCATTATTTTATTAAAATACAATATTGCACATGCCTTAGTCGAACTTGCTTTCACAAATTGAGTATTAGACAAAAAAAAAAAAAACACAACCAAAAGTACGCCTGCCAATATCTACATTGGGATGATCTAAGGAATCCATTAAATCTTTCTAGCTCTTACAACTATTGAAGGTAACACATTGCACAAGGTGTTACGGGTGCTGGAGTTGGGTTTGGCTTTTTTTTAGTCAGCCAGCGGCCCTAGCTCACAAGCTTGGTTCACTTGGAGCTCAGGCTTAGCCTCGCCCTGCACCACCCCAATACAAGTACACCAACATAGAACTAGCTCACAAGCACAAGGGTCTAAGCGCCAAGGCCCAGTTTTATTAGCTCTTTACACTACAAGGGTATGTTGCCACAGCCCACCAATGGTCAAGGCCTAGGGCTTATATAAAGCTCCAATTATACATTTGAATTTCAAATTACAGTGGCCACTTGGCAGCTAGCCCCCTGCTGTGTACATGCTAAGCATGCTCCGGCCTCATGATGGGGCAATGCATATCACCACCTGGAGGCCTTTTGCACGCCATATGCAGGTCTTGTGGGTGTAGCACGCCACACCCATGTGCATGCCGACCAGCCACGCATGCCTCTACTGCACTGTCATTTTCCTGCCAGTAGCTTGAATTCCAATTTGGGCACCCTCGCAAACTAGGCACACCATGAGGCCCAAGGTCCAGCTCACTGCCTAGCTATGCACTGACCTAATTGAGGGGCCTGAGCCACTTTGCTATCATGCACCGCCATTTCAATATACATCTTTGGGTCATGCTCACCCACCACAATCACTAGGCCACGTACCATCCATATGCCTTCTTCGCTGTGAACTGCCGGTCGACCCAAGGCTATCACCACCCTCTCAACTAGGAGTGTATGCGTAAAGAATTGGGCTGGCAAGAGTGACATATGTTCCTGCTAAAGTAGCATATGTGCCTCGTATGCACTATGGTGCTGCCTTTTCCTTAGGCTAGCTGGCTCAAGGGAGGTTTAATGGCCCTTCTCCTCGACTAGCACACACGCACCAAGTTGGGAGCCTGACACAAGGTCACTTTCAGGTGCTAGATTGGATGAATCTTAGGTTTCCAATTCCCACCATCCGCAGTAGCCTTCGAAGAAATTTAGTCACCATTTCTAGCATTTTTTGCCAAAGAGGGCCTTGATTGGTATCAACGACTGCCATAAAAACCAAATTGGAAGCTAAAGGCATTTAGTAGGCTAAGGGATTGGGCCTGAAGCATAGGTGCTTAGTGTGACGGGTGCCACAACATGATGTCAGGTTTTATTCTCACCGCTAACATTCAAATAAATAAATAAATAGGGGGGGGGAGGGAAAGAAGCATTTAGTAGGCCGCTATCTGGCATTTAGGGAAAACTGTATCTTTTTAATTGAGTACACAATATAATAATTCGAAAATGAAAGTCGCATTAGGAAACAATACTGACATCCATGTATCATCGTCGTTGAGTACACAATACACAATATAATAATTGGAAAACGAAGTTCAAAAAAAAATATAATATTTGGAAAATGAAAGTGGCATTGGAACCAATACTAAGATCCACAATATTCACTCTAATCCAAAATATTGCACATGATGGGGACCCAATTCTAGCTGAATAGCATCCTTGAGAATAGTACCGCAGCTACAGGCATTACGCTCTTTAAGTGGAAAATTTGACACTTGACAAAAACAAGTTGTCTACTAGTAACCGTTCTGCCCCAATGAAAAATAGTGATTACCGCTACAATGTATAAAAAAACTCATTTTTTAATTCAAATTTCATTAAGCGGTTCTTGGAAATAGGCCTCTGAATCATTGATGAGAAATGTTGTCATTAGGACAACGATAAAGAAGCAGGTGCAAATTCAGAGGTTGTAGACTTGCTTTTCTCTACACATACATGGTTTGGCACAGAAGCTTTCAACAGCTTATGGAGGAACTAAGACTTTCCAATGACCTACAACGGACATGCATTCTAACACAAGAACTCCAAGTTAACCAGGAACTAAGACTTTCCAATGACTTCTTTTGTGTGAGTGCACATGCTTGTGTTTGAGAGAGAGAGAGAGAGCTCGTGTGGAATAATTAACCATATAATTTGTATCACATATACGGTGCATCTGCTTATGCCCATGAAATCCAAAGGCAACGATATCCAAACCTGTGCACTTAGGCAACCTCTATCAGTTCATACATACCCAATGAAACAGCATATTCAATTCTACTGCACCATAAGATGAGGCTTATTGCTACCTCAAAAAAAACAGTTACAGTACATTCTAGTGTGCTGTATTCTGAGACAACACCACTCTCACTAAAATAACACCTTCCATGAGCAAAAATAAGACCTTTGTTTTCTATGGAAAATATTGATTCAATAGTAGAACTATCAAATATAAATAAAGGTATACAAGGGGACACAATCTCCCTCAAGTTGGCTAGGATACCAATCAAAACCTAACCATTATGTGCTGAGGTCTACCATTAATTCTATGTCCTCATCACTAAATTTCAGTATATAACAAACATGAAAATGGGTTCCATGATGAAAGGCCTTCTATAGAGTGGGCGACAACTTGCCTGCTCAACCAAATTTATAATATTCCTAGACAATGCCGTGAGTGACCCTTGTCCATTGATACCTATTGGGATTGGGCCACCTAGAGAGAGAGAGCTCCATCACTCAAATTTCTCTATCTCCAAGCAAACAACTGGCAATGTAATGAAAGGAACAAAGCATTCCCCAACGCCGGAGTTGAAGCACAGAGCCACACATCGCAAATGAACCTCAGTGACTGAAATAATTGGGAGTCTATTTTAGACCAGACTCCAATCAGCTTTCTTCAGGATTGACTAAGCAAGAACTTCGCCCTTTTTAAGTATAATGGCATGCCAGGTCTCAAGGCAATCCTTTCTCACTTGTAACAATATACCCTCGTCTAAGAGCATGGAATGGATGTTATCCTTCATGACTAGAGAAATTTTGAGATGGGGATGGTTTTCCCTTTCAAGGACCTGGCTTAAAGTGCTCTAGAGTTCCCCATGTTCTTCCCACATTCAATTTGACATGCAGAGGAACTGAAAGCAAAATTATATGCCAATGAGCATTATATCCTAATAACAGATTTGACCCAGATGAGAAAACAGATACCTCGAAGAGATACAGCGCCCACCATGCTGGTTTGCAGCAATACTCCTGCCTCCCTCAATACTGAAGGGTCAACTTCAAGTACAAGTTCATCATGTACCTATAGAACACATACCTTTAGAATCTTTCCAAGTAATGACAATACAAACTCCAATCCCAAACCTCAAGATCTCCCATGAGCGAAAATTGCTGGTATTATAAACAATTTGGTGATTCTCAGTGAGTCAATATTGTCTTCACCGTTCACTGGAAAAAAAAAAAGCCTATTGTCTAGGCCCTTGTGATTCTATTGCTGACCTGTAACACAATTCGGCATCGGCCTTTCAGCAGACAATGAGGAGATGAGGAATCAGATTCTTGATCAGGTCCCAGGCATCCCTCAGCAATCACTGAGTGAATTTTTTTCATAGCAATCTTGATTATATCAGCAGCGGAGCCCTGGTAAGTGGTGATATAACATGTGAGAACCAAAAACGTCGTAAAATACAAGTCAAATGTATCTTCTGATACCTGACAAACAGAGTTCACAGCTTGTCTCTGAGCTTTAGCTTTCTCAGCACCACTTCCAAACTTTATCTTCCCCAAGAAACGCTTCCTCCCCTTTAGAGTCTCCACATATCTGGAAAACAAATGATGCATTTCCAAATAAGATATCTTCATTCAGCTAAGATTTTTTAAGGACGACACAGCTCCAAAAGCAATACAAGGGAATGAAGATGACGAACTAAAAGTATGCATGCTGCCTGATATGTACGACAACCAACCAGAGGTCATGCTGAAGATGCCATTTTAAATGGTCCACAACTTGCAACTTGAAATAAACAAAGAAGTTACATATCACATAATCTGGAAATATGACTTGACATCGACAATGTTAAAGCTATTGGAGGTTGCATAATGACAAAGAAGCCCTTTTCAAAAGTCCATTTGAAGCAGTAAAATCCCTTGTGGACACAAGAATGCAAAAACGGAAACTTCTCACCCAAAAACAAATATCTATGCACTAAATTCTTATATGGATATATACATCAATTTCACTTGGCCAAGCAAACATAAAGAGAGAAATATACCGTTACATAAACATCTTTGATGGAGATATGACCTTACCTAAACAGATTGTACAAACAAACCTCAACATGAGCAATTTTACCACTGAAAATCAGACTTAAAGAGCATGAGACCGGACTCAAGCCAAGTAAAGAAACTCCTGGTGACCTTTGCATTTTTCCTGCAAAGGTAGCAAGGCCTTTTTCCTAACTGTGACAACCTAGCTTGCAGGAGAGATGTCTAGGATTCAAACATCCCTCATGCAAACCAAGTTGGCATACCTGAAAGAGAACAGGAATGATTGCTTCCAGAAGAAATACAACATGATTTGGAGAATGAGAATCATTTCAAGAAAAATAAAACTTAAACGAGATATTTGATGATAACGTAAAGGGAAATGTGTGGGATACATTTTATACTTGTACTCGTATAATATCAAGGGAAGCAGATGCAAAAGTCCATAGAAACTTGGGAATGATTTTACGAGAATGTAAGTGAAATGTGGTATGGAAACGGTAGGAAAACTGGGAAGAGAACCTGGGGAAATTTGACAGAGTTTGAACTTATTCCTCACAAATATGGAGAAGAGAATCAAAACAATATCCAAGAAATGCTTCTCACAAAACAAGTTCCAACATCAACATCCTTATAACTAAGAGTAAAACATTTAGGTCAGTGATGCAGCACAAAACAGCTCTCGTATCTAGTTAAGAGAGAGAAGCTTAAAGATTACAAGAGGAACCGCAGAAGGGCAAAAAAGCCATTGAATCTATCCTTTTATGTCTTTTATTTATTTTTTGAGTAATTTTATTTACTTAGGGGCATAACCGCATAGTAGTAATTTCTAAGTATTTATGTCTTTTTATTTACTTAAAAGTCTTTTATATTAAATGGCCATGATTAGCTTAGATGGATGGCCAAGATTAAGTCTAGTTTAGGAATTTCTTATATAAGGCATGTACTCAAGCATAATGAAGCATCTTGTTATGGACTTTATTCAACACCCTATAGCAGCAACTGCTCCTTTTCTTTATGGTATTTGAATCTTTTCTAATTTTGGATGTTGCCTATCTCTTTCTTTACTAAACCCTAGCTTCATGCTACTAGGTCTATGTTAGGTTGGTATCGGAGTCTGAAGATTTTTACGGTACTGCAGCATTGTGCGGTATTGTAGCATGGTACTGTAGCACTATATAGATATTGTAGCAATGTATGGACGGCACTGTAGCATTGATTTTTGTGCCCTAGATCAACAACCATGCCTCCAAGCAGAGGAAGAGGAAGAAAAGAAACAGCCATAGAAGCCTTTGATGCTAGTCCACGAGAATGAGGAGATTAGTCATAACCCTAGCTCTATGTTTGGCATAGATGGAAACCTCATCTCAAGAGGATGAGATCCAGACAAATGAGGAATCCATAAATCCCTTCCATGATCTAGCTCCAAGGAGGGTAGAAGAGGGTAGCTGATCGTACAGATAAGGATATTAGGAAGTGGGAAACCGGTCTCAAGGTGGAGATCCCAGAATGTTGTGGAAGTCTATCTGAGGACAAGCATGGAGAAACTTTGTTCTAATCAATGGTTCTCAAGATCAACACCTTGTAGACTGGGACTGACCACCAGTCTTTGACAAGTACCTCAATGAAGATGTCGGTGTTGAAAAAGAAGTGGTGATCATAGCTTTAATAATGATCCAATCCGTAAACAGGATAAAGAAGAAGATCTTACTATTGGAGAGGATTTTTAATTTCTCCGATTCTTGATGAAGAACAGGGTGGATGTCAAGGAGTTGTTCCCAAAGTATCGGAGGTAACTGGTTTCTTAGTCCCAAGAGAAAACAGCGATGAGAATGGTGTTGACAGCGGTAATGATGACAATGTTGTTCTTCTTCGAGTTTTACCTGAACTTAAGGTATCACGTAAGGTCCACACCAAAGAGTTCAAGGTATTTTCTCCTGAGCTCTTAGCTGGTGAGTTTAATATAGGAGATTCTCTCTAAAAAGTTGTTGAAGACATTCTCTCTGAGAGAACTCAAGCTGAGTTGTTGCTTTGCTTTGATGGAAGAACCAAATCTATTCCTTATCATCTTCCTCCCAAATCTAAACCTAAGAAACTTAAAATTTGCATCTCCATCTCACAAAATTTAGCAAGCCTCAGAGTTCAAAGTTTTTCTTGCATTCTAAGAGAAAAGTTTTCCTCTTCTCTTGCATTCTAAGGAACCTAAAGTTTTTCTTGCATTCTAAGAGAGAACTTGGGTTGAATTGTTGCTTTGCTTTAATGGAAGAACTATTCCTTATCATCTTCCCCCGAAACCTTAACCTAAGGAACCTAAAATTTGCATCTCGATCTCACAAAATTTAACAAGAGAAAGCCTAAGAGTTCAAAGTTTTTCTTGAATTCTAAGAGAAGAGTTTTCCTCAGTGATGTTTATGATCGAAAGTTTGTGCACTTGCATCACAATAGTGTTAGTTTTCAATGTGCACAAAAAGTGATGGATGAGATGTCTATGAGAGGCAACATGACTAGGAAAACATTGATCTCTAGTTATCTTGAATTGTATATCTTTAAGGTTGAGTTACAATGTTTCCAAGAAATTCAAAATTATGGGTTTTCATATTCCCTACATCAAAATGGTGTGTTGCGCTCTCATCAATTCATTGCAAGATTGGCAATCTCCTTTCGGTGGATTCAATACTGAATCTTACAAGTCATAGAAGTGAGACTTCCTACACAGTTATTTTGAATGGATATCTCCGAGGATGTATAATTAGAAGTAATTCAAGACTCTTCCCACCTATGCTTGTTCATGGTTCTAGACCAAATTGTTATGAATATCATAAGTAGAATCGACGCAAGATTGGACCGTGTGAAGTGGTGGAAGAGATTAATGACAATGCCTATAAATTTAAGCTTCCCAACCGTATTCACACTTCTGATATTTTTAATGCCAAGCATCTCATTCTATATGGTGGTGATACTTCTGACGACAAGCCGCTGAATTCAATGGCGAATTCTTTTGAGGAAAGGGGGACTGATGCAACCCAGAATACTCCTCTCGAGTACCTAGTTAAGAGAAATAAGCTTAAAGATTATAAGAGGAACCGCTGCAGAGCAAAATAGTCATTGAATATGTCCTTTTATGTTTTGTATTTATTTCGTAAGTCATTTTATTTACTTAGGGGCATAGGTAGTAATTTCCAAGAGTCTTTTATGCCATTTTTATTCACTAAAAGTCTTTTATAGTAAATGGCCACGATTAGATTAGATGGATGGCCAGGATTAAGTCTTGTTTAGGGTTTTCTTATATGAGGGATGTACTCAAGCATAATGAAGCATCTTGTTATGGACTTTATTCAAAACCCTAGAGGAGTAAGTGCTCCTGTTCTCTCTGGTTTTTTAATCTTTCTCTAATTTTAGATCTTCCCTAAATTTTTCTTTGCACCAATCAGTAATTCAAGAGTCAGGCCTATGTAAGTATAGAAGAAGGAAAGGGGCATATGGAACTCTAGGGTGTTGACAATCATGTAAGTCATCTTGATGTCTTCCCATTCAAGTTAAGTGGGCCAAAGAAGTGGGATCTTTTTCCTGGAAAGGGCCAAATAAGTGAAATCTAAAGGCACCTAATTTCCCGCTATAGTATGAAGTACCCATTCTAACTTGACCTCAAGTTATTCCTCCTATAACAAAATTAGCCAAAAGAAAAAACCAAACTATTTCTAAAACGGGGAGGATGTTTGTAGATAGCAATAACAGCAAATATGGAATTGAACATTCCAAAGGTCATTCAAATAGTGAATTCTAAACTTTTGGCAATCCATCTCAGTTCAAGTGTAAAAGTTGTCCTGCACACTGAAATTTTCCAGAATGATACCATGTCAAGAAACAGACACTGGTCAAAGAAAATATAACATTATAATGTAATAAATTACCACAGAAACATCAAGGATCAATGGCATTTTGCTATTTCAGAAAATCAAATAAACTTTTGCTACTTCAGGAAATCACAATGCCCACTTTAGAGAATCAATAGCATTTTGCTATTTCTAAACAAGAATTAGCTAAGGTTAATGGAAACTTTCTGAAAATCTGAACTTACCCTTTTTTACGGCAGAACTGAACAGTCTCCTGGAGCCAAGACGAGACCAATGGGAAAGAACTCTTAAAGCTTTGAATTTTCTCAGCAGCTTCCTCAGAGCTGCAGTTTAACTGTTCTGCAAGTGTAGTAACACCCATTCCATAGAGGATGCCATAAACTAGCCTTTTTGTCTGATCTCTCTGTTCTGAGCTAACTGCACATTGCAACTGTCCAGTCCATCGTGCAGCTATCATGGTAAAGAGATCACCTTCTGGTTGACTAAGAAGTTCAATCAGTGAGGGATCTTTGGAGAAATGAGCCATTAATCTCAGCTCTATCTGAGAGTAATCAGCTGTAAGCAGCAACCACTCATCCTGCATGTCAATTTCAACTACTAAGCTATTAGTAATGCTTTTATAAATACATCAAATTTCCTATGCGGAAAACAAATGGCAATCATAGAAGTACCTGAGTAGGTATGAAGAATTTGCGTGCATTGATTTGATGATGATCAGAAATTGAACCTTTGTCTTTGGAATGGATTGTGAAGTCTACCATATGCTCAACACACTGTAAGCAACAACTTGGCAGTTAAAATTCAACCAAGATTTTAGTTTAATCCTACTACATCCGATCTGCAATGCACGGATACTTAAAAATGGGTGCCATATCTGTGTCAGACACTCTGAAAACACATGTTGTTATCTAAAATGATGTTATAATGTCCAATTTGTATCATCCATTATGGCAACTGATTAAGAAGCACATAATATCAAAAAACCTGAAGATTAGGATCTTCCATGGAGAGTCTTCCAGTAGCCGTAGAAGTCTGAAGCCAATGCCCTTGAATTTTGTACTTTTGGAACCTTGTACAGAGCCTAGCCCGTGAACATATCGAACCAAGCGTACTATTGAAGAGCTTTGCCAATGTCCGGTGCTCCTTGATTACTCCAACTATCGGATGTTGATCCCTGTCAAGGATAGAAACCTAATACGTAAGATGAACAGGGCTAAAGAGTAGATGGTCTTACCAACCACATAAAGGATTGATGGACATAAGTTCCATAAGTGACAAGAAGGGAATTGTAATCAAGGTTAGCAGCAAGTAGTAATTATTGAAAACCATGAAAAAACATGAGACTTTTAACTTTGCTGTCTTTTACTTTTTGATAAATGTAGCAGCCATATCATACATAGGAAAAGGATGATGTAGGGTTTGGATATCCAGCAGAGTCACAGCAATTACTCTATAGAGCTTGACAAACCATTAATCCCATAAAAATCTCTCTAGTTTCAACGACTATTGCATAAGAAGTATTTGCATTGTTAAGAGAACCATTAGTGTTCACAGAAAAAAGAAAATAAGAAAACAAAAAACAAGTGAGAAACAGGAAACTTTCCAAGTTCTCACAAATTGTTTTTGAGGTTCCTTTTCAGAGAAATTTCCAGTTAAAACAAGACATTGAAAAGGTCCTAGTCCCATAAATTTTCATCATGTTATAACATTTCTTATGATTACATTCACTCACTATTTTTTTGAAATGGATTGCAATTCATGTCACATTATTCCCATGATCTTACATCCTTTAATGAACATTAATAAGATGCTTTTTTGTGCAACTATCCCATCCTTGGGTTTACATTCCACCTCTTTCCAGCTTCAATGTACTTAATAATGATCATGAAACTTGGATCACTTCGAGTGGTGCCCTAGAAAATTTTGGCTATATTCAGCAAAAGAAAAGTACCTGAGCAGTTCCAATGAACGTTTATTTGTACTAGGGTGATGTTTTCCTTTATTGCAGCTCTCAGGTATAGGCAACTTTAAGTGTTTGTACAGCACATGTGCTATATCTACAGCTCCATAAAGAGAAAAGGCAATCCCAGCATGACTGTAAGCTTCCTCCTCAAGTTCCTTTAGCTTTTTACCAAGAATATGCCTTGCTCTCAGGCATAACTCCATATCAACACCTATTCCCCAGAATTCAATGTCTGCGAGAACTTTAACCTATTGTATTTCCCAAAAGAAATTTGTGATAGCCAAACTTGAAGCATCCAGTGCCTTTCTCATAAACTATCTTGAAAAACTGAATTAATGCCAGGATCAAACTTGTGAATATACAAATAAAAGAAAAAGACTCACCAATGGCATCTCAACACACGTAAGTGCTTCAACAAGATCTTCAGAGATGAGTAATTTCCACAAAACCGCATCTAGGGCCCTTGTTTGTGCCACACGACGGCAGCAGCCATTGTGGGCAACCTTATGCATCTGATTTCTCCACCTACCATCTCGATTAGCGGCAGCAGCAGCTTCTGCAGATAATCGTTTCTTTACTTCCTGCTTCAACAACAGAGCCATCAAAATGCCGTTTTGGAAACATCTCTAGATTAATGCCAATCCCGAAAAATAACAGGAAGATATTCAGAAATTCTGGTATCATGCAAAACAATATTAGATATTTCCATGTAAGATTTGTCCAAAGTCTGCACTGAAATAATACCCCAATCTGAACATACGAGAAAAGACAATTTCAAGGAAAAGTAAACCAAACAAACAAACAAAAAAACGGAGACATGCAGTATTCCTCCTGAAATTGGTTCTACCTTACGTTCTGACTTAAAAAACTGTCTTCCAGCAAAAGACACCCAAGTTTGTTTGACTAAGACGATCAGATAAATTTGATCCGAAGCTCAACCAAAGTTTGAGGCACTTTGATGGAAATTCAAGTGACAATCAACTGAATTTATTATAAATTTCCCAATTGTGCTATAAATTAGGCTTATACGAATCAAAACTGAGCCGATGCTCTGACCAAAATTATAAGAAGCTTCAGATGAATAAGAGTCCAGGTCTCAGGCCTTTCATTTCTTAAGGGGAATCTAATGGCTAGACAGGTGTTATGGCAATCAGATTGCCTGACTGTTATACCCATGGGAAAAAATTATAGACCAAGGAATGGCACAGTTTTGAACCACTTCTCAAACCATTGATATCATCAGCATGCATGCTGCACAATACAAGCAACTCCAGATAGCAAACAATGGCAAAACACAAATGGGTTCACACAGGCGGATTATTATAAGTCCTAAATCCTGATTAACTTAATAAGATGGCCCCAAAATTACTTGAATGCATAAAATCTGAAACTTTCATCAACAAACTAATCAATGAGCTAAAGGAGTGCAATAAGATACACAAACATGACTGAAGAAGAATGTGTAGAAATCTTATGCAATGTAAAATATACAAAGGACTGCCTTTTGCTCGTTAAATGATCCCTAGATTATGGAAATCAAATTGACCATGGCAGAAGCTAAAGTTTCGATATACCTTCTCTAAATTTGGACTAGAGCTGCTCTCCTCATCTGGCCACAGAATCCACGCCACAATGCAAACGTCAATTCCATTTTCCACGATTATAGATGGAAGAAAGAGGGAGGAACTCTCTCTTAGTTCAATTTCATTATGCTCCTCTTGTCGTCCAATACGGGAGCCACAAACTCTCCGAAGGGAGATCCCAGGCTTTTGAAGTGCCTGAATCTGACCCTTGAGCATCCATGTAACTTTTCTAACTCCATTCTTTCCCATGATCTTTCCAATGAGGCCCCATCTATAATTAGCTAGTTCCCATCGATCACTCAAATCAGTTGTTGAACTTGAATCATTGCCTACAGTTGTGCCTACAGAACCATCAAGTTTCTGAGCTAAAAGTTTCTTCTCAAGGACAACCAAATCTTTAGGAATGTTCACATAGTATACAGGAGAATCCTTCCAGCAAATAGCTATGCCATAAATTTCAAAAGGGACAGATGAGTTGAGATCACCAAACTTTTTGAAATGGACATCAAAATAAAATTCTGTGACAGTATCCCATAGAGACAAGAAATAATCAAATCCACCAGGTATGCTACCAGCATTAATTGGACCTTTCTCAGAATTGCATTGTTTTCCTAGCTTATATTTTGGTGCAAAACCATTGCTTTGCTTCTCCTGCTGGGAAGCAAGTACTCCCGCAGAATTCCCAAAAGGCATTGTGCCAATACTACTGACATTCTTCAACTCTTGTGGAAAAAATGGTTTGTTCATCAAATCATCGTTGGGATCCAAAGTTGGAAGGGGAACTGCTCCTAAAAGTTGAATGGTTCCGTCCTTATCTTTTAAATTTTCCAGGCCAGTTGAGTAACTTTCACTAACTCCATCCATATTGATCATTTTGTCTCTTGTTATAACAATCTTAGGCTCCAGCCCAATGCCATACGATATCATCTTTCCATCTTCAACGTATTCTCCAACGACATCAGAAGTAATAGAAGATGGAGCACCTCCAGCTTGCACATCTGGACTGTGATGGGAAATAAAATCAGGATAATCAGGCACAGTGTCTACTAATGTTACATTATCCACAGCTTTTATTGAAAGCTGAGCTTGAGGAAATTCACAGGGAACAAGTCCAAGTGATTTGAATGCTGAAAAGGCAGCTACTCTAGCCTCTTCAGCTTGATCAAGGACAATTCTGCGAGCCCCAACTTTTATCTTTTTCGCCACTCCAAACTGCATACGGCGCATTGCTGAACCTTCTGACACATTCACCAAAAAACTGGTTAACCCTAGAAATACAAGTAAAAGATCACAAAGAACACATGAACACGTAAACTTAAACTGAGCAAAAATTTATTGAAGAGTATGAAGTGTTCGTGCATATGTATGTATTTGAAAAAGCTTCACCTTCAGCTGCCCATGAAGAGCCTTCAAACAAAGCTTTGACAATATCAGGAATGGAAGCTTCAGCAACAGCTTGTGGAGTGCGCAAGCCAGCTCTATAGAGAGCCCTTGCACGAGAACCCTGCATTGGAGATGCATTATAAGTCACAATGTGATTTGATCAAGCGACAATGCTATTAATGTGCAAACTAACTAACCCAAAGAAAAAACACACTAGATGACATGCATACCTTGACCAAAGGAATAGTGGTGAGCTCTACAATCTCTGCTCTTACACCAAATGTAACCCGATTTTGAAATTTTGAAATCAGGCCTTCCAAATCACGCCAGCCAAGTCTTTCACAAAATACAGAAGCCATTAAGGCAAATCTGCCAGCATTCTCTTGTAGGGCCTGCACCATACCCCTAGCCACTTTGAAGGCTTCACAAACAGCCATAACGGGTACTTCCTGCATTCCCATGTACATACATATACTTTCATCATTACAACCAGCAACTTGAATTCATGAACAAATACTTCAATTTAGCTAATCCACAATACGACATTCAGTCGAAGGAATCTCCTTATCCACAATATTACGTTCACATGTAGAGAATCCCTAAATATGCTTGGTCTGCACCAAATACAAACACAATACCATCGTACAGTAACTGAAATCAATCATTAGTTCTAAGAGGACATTTGGGAGGGTTAAACCCATGCATAAGAACATGGTGGATAAAGGGGCATAAACACTGTTAAAGGCCGGCAAAAGAAACAAAGAATAAGTAAAAAAATAAAATAAACACAAGGGCAAAAACTCTACCACATAGGAATTTACAGATGCATACATGAATCATTATCATATTGTGTGTGTGTGTG